CCCATCTCTACTGGAGTTCTTGGTGGTCAAAGACTTATTTTCTCTTTTTTTCTTCACAGGTCTCTCACAGGGAGGATGAATGCCTACAATTTAAAGCTTACAAGTATATTGACGTTGATCTCCTACAGCCGGCATCGGTCAAAGTGTACAGCAATTATAATCTCGGTAATGACTCTTGTGAACTCAGCATTGTAGAGGCTACTCAAAGACCAAGACACTAGTTAGGGCATTTAAGAAATTTACTAAGCTTCCCCTTTTGCCTCCTGTTTGGAGGGCAGAGCTCATGAGGGAAAACCCTGAACATATTTAAAAAGCAATGACAAAGGATGAGGGACCAACCTTGCTCCAGTTTCCAGACAGCCTTCACGTTCTAGGCTGTTTGCCCTCACCCACCCATTTGTAATTTTCATCCAAGGGCAAGGATTGATTGATTGATTGATTTACTTAGTTACTTACTTAGTTACTTACTTACTTATTAATTATTCGATTTATACCCTGCCCCTCTAGACAGAGTCTACTCGGGGTGGCTTACAAAGAAGAATAAAACATTATAAAATACAATCAAATAAAAACCATCAGTATATGTAAATCAATGACATAATTATATCAACAAATTAGAAGATCAAGATGGAAAAAAAACCTAAAGAAAAAAAGAGAATCAGGTGTTCATTGGAGGACCTGATTCCTAGGTTCCCTGATTGTTTAGCATAGGGTTTGTGTGCACTGGAGACAGAAATGGTATTCATATATGGGTTGTTTTCCTGGTTTATATTTGCTGCTGCATCAAAAGTGAAATTTTTGGGGGGGTTTACAAATAAATACATTTTGCTGCTGCTTGTTGAGCTGGATATATGAGACCAAGGCATTTTGCTGTTTCCCCAATGTTGATGTTGGTTGCTTGCTTAGATTAGTGCTCTCCTCATACCCCTTGCATGGCTATAAGGCCAAGGAGGGTCAGCCGATGACCAAACGGCCTAGTCTTGCCTCCAAAGCCATTTCACCCAGCCCACAGTGACCTCGACCAAAGGCAGACACTTAAATAGTAAAGCAAAAATAAAAGAAGAATGAAAAAATAAAGAAGACAGAAATGTTGTGGCGTTTTAAAGACTAATTGCTATTTTTAATGTGAGCTTTTATAGAGAAGTTCACATCTTCAGGAGTTTGAAGACATCTACTTGTCCACAAAAACTCACATTAACATATAGTAGTTAGTCTTTGAGGAGCCATAACATTTTTGTCTTCTGTATTTTTAAATTTGGGGGCGGGGGTGCCTGACACGCAAGCACAGACTAACATGGCT